ATTACTATGTATCTAACTATACATGCTAATTTAAGGAACATGGGTTGGAAACGAAATAGAGATAATTAACGTACTTGGGTTCAGTACATAGAATTGCTTATAGTAAACCTCAGACTCTGATAGTTAGGAATTCATGATTGTTGAATAAAGTAATAGCTTGTCTCTCTTGATGTTTTTGTCTGCTAGAGGAGAAAAAGATTTCTTGCTTGTAGCCAAGTGGATTTTATGAATCACTACAATTTTGATATCCCAAAATTATGCCACTATTTTGTGTGGTGATTGAGCAGATAAATCGGTAAAGACATGTTTGAGAATCTTTTTAGAATGATGAGAGCGGAGGAAAGATTACTGTTTCTTAAATATCTTCTAGAAATGAATAATCACCTTTTATGTAGTATCGCAACACAATTGAGTAGAATAGTGCACCATACAATTTCTGTTTGAGATTTATATATATATATATATATATAGAAAGAATCTAAAAAAATAAATGAAGCATTTTTTTTTAAAATGCAATCTACATCGGTTTCTAGTAGAACCCATGTAGATTTGTGTACACATCTACATCGTTTGTTGGTATAACCGATGTAAAATTGTGGTAAAATCTACATCGGTTTTACTTACAACCGATGTAGATTTGTATGCAAATCTACATCGGTTGTCAGCAAAATCGATATAGATTATGCACAAATCTACATCGGTTTCAAAATTAATGTAGAAGTATTTGTATTTCTAAGTCGCTCTATTCTACATCGGTTTTATAATCGATGTAGATTACCTTCTAGAACCGATGTAGATAATACATCCTGTAGTAGTGTACCATAAATAAATTTTATGAAAATTACTAAATCACCCTTAATAAAAAGTATGAAAACTGGGGTGTTATACTCATTTACATCAATCCCACTCTAAATCGATGTAAATATGCTAAAATTTCATACTTAATTTTTTTTTATATTTTTTATAATTAATGATAAGCACATAACAAAATCATTTTTTAATTCCTTCAAGACAAGAAAAGCAAGGAATAAGCTGTCTTAACTTGAACTAAAAAGAAGAAACAACTTTGAAACCATCAAATTATGAACAATGATCAACATATTTGTTGATCATAAGACATGTTGGCATTTTATCATTAGAACAAGCATATAAAAGAGCCATTTGAAACAAACCATGAATGTCAATCATAGAACTTCAAGATGAAAACAAGAATTGACAGAATCAATAGGGGTTTGGTTTCTTGAGCGAGCATGATGCTTTAAAAGCCTCAATCTGTGACTGACATTTGACATAGTCTCCCTTATTCTCTTCCAAACACTTCTTCAAAGCCTCAACATCACATGATGATATTATTTTCTTCACACTGCTGCCATCCCCTGCTTTCTGATCCATAATCTCACTTAAGAATACAATGGTTCTGCTTCTGCATTTTACATCAAATACCAACTAATTAAATCAAAATAACTGTATCACAGACAAATAAATAAAAAAAGACTAAATTTTGGAATTAAATAATAGCACAGCATAAGCATCGAGTAATCCAGTCCATTGTTATGTCACTTGAATTGCTTGAAAATAGAAAAACAGAATATGTAGTGAAGGAGGAAGCAAAATAGAAAGAATGATGCAAAAATCCTGACCTTTGACCTTGAACTGCTTCTCAACCATAATGGTCTTAACTCCAAATCTGAATCAGCATGTATTATACCTCATGGCAAGCCTTTCAACTCCAAGAGGTTACATGATATGCTTGTACCAATAGGTATAAAAAATGAATCCAAGTTTCAAAATCATTTTTGACAAGAATTTGTGAACACACAGGTTCATCACAAATTTTGAAAGCAATCATTGCCATCATTTACTATAAAGAGAAGAGTTTTTATAAATAATAGAAGATCTAATCTGAAAAAAAGAGAATCAAAAAGCTACTTGGTCTAGTAATCTAACTTCAAAGATTTTACCTTTGGTTCTCCCCAGAAACTTCAAGACCTCGGCATCAGTATCAACCTCATAATGGTGCATCACCTCCTTCTCACGAAACTCTAACAAGGGAATGAGAGCTTCGCCCACACACCCACATCATCAATGCTAATATATGAATCCCCTTTCTCACAAATGTCCACAGCTTTGGCCTTAGGTTTACATTCTGAAATAACTAACTTCAAGGCCTCTGCAAAATCATAAACAGACAAACAATAAAAGGTGAAAAAAAATGAAATCATCAATAAAACCAAAAATGCAAATAAAAAAAGGTGTCCTTCATCAAGATTCCAGAAAAAAAAATCATCCAAGATACGAAATTAAAAATAAAAATTCTTGAGAAAGATAGATGCTTTCATCTCAAATAATCACTTGTGTCATAGGTATGATTCTTGAGTTGTGAGGGAGGGAGAGAACAGAAATTGATTCAATAAGACCATGCTTTGAATTTGGAGCCAGTAAAATATTCAACAAATAAAGAAATTTTTCCAAAGAAATGCAAGTAAGGACTGGTGTCCTACAATAAGAGAAAACATTAGAAATTACATTTCCATTTAGCCGAGAGAAATAAAAAACATGAGTTCTTCAATAGAACCCATGATCTATTAAGACAAGATATAAATAAGCCTTTACTAATTTATTGACATATTTGAGTTTATTAAGCAACAAACCTCCAAGTACTTTCGGCTCTAGTAAAGAAGAATGTGAGAAGCCTGCCATTTGACTGTTTAAACAAGAACAACAGAAGGTGATATGCAATCTGATTTGATAAAAAATAAAGAACAAAAGTTATGATCAGTAATCTGCTACTTGCTTTGATAAAATCATTTTTTAATTCCTTCAAGACAAGAAAAGCAAGGAATAAGCTGTCTTAACTTGAACTAAAAAGAAGAAACAACTTTGAAACCATCAAATTATGAACAATGATCAACATATTTGTTGATCATAAGACATGTTGGCATTTTATCATTAGAACAAGCATATAAAAGAGCCATTTGAAACAAACCATGAATGTCAATCATAGAACTTCAAGATGAAAACAAGAATTGACAGAATCAATAGGGGTTGAATTTTCATGTCGTATCTCATTTCATCACGTTTCACATTCTCATTCACATCATGTCTCTCATTTGTTCATATTTCACATAGTCGTACTCATAATTATTCCTCATAGGGTTTCGCACAAGAACCCACAGAGCATTCTAATTCATATCAAAACTTGTTTATTTTCAAAATTAATCACATATTCATACATCACATCCAACAAGGAACACAACAGAACAATCAAAAGACAAAATAGAAAACATTTATATTTTGCTTGTTCCTAGAAGCATGCATCAGGCAAGGGATTGGGGGTCAATCCAGCTACCCAACAATTATTCCCACATCCTCGAATGAGGTTTCTCACTCCCCCCTTACCTGGGTAAGCAGAAGACAAAGCTAGAGGAGAATCTGGTTGATCTCCTTCTCTTGGTTCTCCTTGGTTTTTAGAGAGTGTGTCCAGATGCAGTGCCAGAGTCTGCTATTTATAGATGTTAGGAGTGGCTAGAATAACCCGTTTTAAATCCGGAACGGCCCATTCTGGACTCATTCATCATGGGTAAAATTCACATCTGGAACGACCCGTTCTCAAACCAGAACGACCTGTTCTAGGGTTGTGTTTTTACACATAACATCCATGTTTGGAATGATCGTTCTTAAACTAGAACGGCCCGTTCCCAACTAGGGTTATAGACCATTTTAGTAGTTTTGAACGGCCTGTTCCAGTTTGGGAACGACCCGTTCTAGACTACTAAATATCAAACTTTTTAATAGCTTGGAACGGCCCGTTCCAATTTGGGAACGACCCGTTCTAGGCTACTAAAACACCCTAAATAAATTTTATGAAAATTACTAAATCACCCTCAATAAAAAGTATGAAAACTCGGGTGTTACACTCATTTACATCGGTCCCACTCTAAATCGATGTAAATATGCTAAAATTTCATACTTAATTACAAAATTGCAATTGCACTTTAATTTTACATTGTTTTTGACAAAATCGATGTAAAATTGTCGACATGGAATAATGTCTTTCTAGTAGTGAACCATTTTATGTTACAATATCTCAACAATCAAATTGTTCAAAAATCCAATTTTTAAATAGAAGTAAGTATATATTGGAGTTCGATTTCACTTCTTAAGGGGCTTATCTAATGAAGGAGTAGTTTGTCTAGTTCATTGTGATTTGCAAGAATAGATTGTAGATATTTTAATTAAATCTCTCAAGCTGAAGTAGTTTAAAAAACATAGAGGCTTACTTGAAGTGTGAGAATTACTATAAGTAAACTAAGTTACATTGATTAGTTTAAGGTTTTGATAAGATTTAAGTCCCTTAATTTAGGAGTTGTTTATATTTTATTAATAAGTTGTCTATTTTTAAGGATAGTACAAATAATTTATTTAATTCAATTCTGTTTAGATTTACCACGTAGTTAGTTGTCTAATTGCTTACAAGTTTTCTCCTGTTTTGTAAAGGCTTATAAATAGCCATCATTTGAAATTTAATAAACAACAATTTAGTCCATTTCTATTTGGTTCTTGTTTGTTGTTGTTCAAAGCTCTTTACAAAACGCGAGCAAAGCTCACAACAATCAAACTAATAACTAGCAACCAAGCACGAGGAAGAAGAGGGAGCATGTACAAAATTTTACATTACTTACATACGTTGTGAGATAAAATTTAATTCAACTTATATACATTTTCATGACTTCATCGTAAACTATCTAGCTGGTGTTATATTAGGATATATATATATATATATATATATATTTATTTATTTATTTTTAATCTCTCAAATTTAAAATTAATTATTTTAACTTATGTAATTTTAAAAAAATCTTATTTTAATCTCTCGGAATCATCTATTGTAATATAAATAAAGTTAATCACCTATACACTATATATATATATATATATATATATTTCTCAACAAAAGACACTAATTAATATAAAAAAACTAACGGTGCCCAATAGACATGTTAATCCGTAAGAATATTATAGCAATCCAATATTATTTATGCAAACTTAAACTGATCGACAACATGTTACAACATTTATTGAAACTAAACCCAATAAGGCAATAAATAAAGAATGAGAAGAATGAAAAGATCTACATATATAAGCCCACGTAGAGAGCGAAGGAGGAGATGAATGCAGATAAGATTCCAAAAGAGAGTGTGGAAGCATCGGAACCAGGTTGAGGATAAGTGGGTGCATCAGAGTTTAGAGACTCAACGTTGATACTGAACTTTTGTCCTCTCACACAGTGATTCCCAACAGTGCATATGAAGTATTGAGGCACAGCTTCAAGAAGAGTGTATCGGAAACTGCTTCCAATTAGGTTACCCACTGCGCTTGTGTTGCAATTCTCGTAATTACTACTATCTCTCTCAATTCCCACCGTATGATCTCCACTCCAGTTGAAAACTGATCCATAGCCACCACAATGTCAAAATATTAGTTCAACCACCTATGGTTACATTAATGTAAATGTAATATATATATATATATATATATATTAAACAAGAGGGAGCGAATATTATTCATATGCACTCTAACACTCTATTATTAACCAACATTTATTGAAATTCACAAATTTTGTAAATCTTTTACAAAATTTGTGATTATAAATTAATACTAATTAAAGATAATATATTTTTATTTATGAATATATTTAAAGTAGTATCTCAAAAATTGACAATCAATGATTAATACATTTATGTAATTAGAGATTATAGAAAAAAAATAACATTAGAATTTTCCTATATTTAATTCCTTTAATATGGAAGAATAATATATGTTATTCATACGTTAAATATAAGAAAAATAAATGCTGTAATAATAAAATAAAATAGTTTTACATTGCTATTTTATCACAAACTATCAATATGATAAATTGTTAACTTTTATAACAAATAAGTAAAAAGTTGTAATATCTATATAATTGATGATGAACATGTGTAAAATTACTTTACATTATTATGGGACATATGATCATTAATTAAACAAAAATTCTAATTATATTGTAAGATGAAGGTTATAATAACACCGGTTTAACTTTTACTAAGTATTAAATCACTAAATAACTTTATATTAAATGTGAATTTTATAAATCTAACTGTTAGATTTAAAGTTTTTTATTCTTAGGTCATATATATACAAAATTTTATATTAATTCAAGATAATTTGATACTTCATTCTTATAAAATAAAATTGACGTAATATATTTTTTAAAGTATAAATTTTATAAAGTATAATATATAATTAAATTCTGTGATTGGTCGTTCTCATAGAAATTCTTTTTTTATTTGATTGATGGGAACAACAAACAATAAATTATAACAAATTAAATATACATTTCAAAATATAATAAAATATGAACACTTTGATTACTTTTAAGTTGTTGTTCAATTTTAACAAAATTTAATATAAACAGATATGAACTTTCAATTCTAACTATTTCCTTGTCATTTATCACAAATTATATTCTAATAATATTTATTTTTGTTAATAAATGACATTTTTTAGTATACAAATTAAGGGATGAAACATATTTTTGTGGTGAAATAAATAAATGAGGTTTGATTAGTTGGATGAGAATGTGCTCAGACTAGAACTTACATAGTGTGTCACCAACGAAGAATCTCTTGTTGCTAGCCCAATCTATATAGAAGCTCTCGTTGGTGGGAACGTTCCATCCAAAGCTGTCACCAACAATATAATCCGTTGCTTCAGTCGCACCAATTATGAAAATCATTGCAACCATGGAACACCCTATCAAATTCAAACCCATGTTTCTTGCCATGTTTTTTTTTCTTCCTGATTTTGTATGCTGCAATCTCTGTGCTCTCTTTTGTGTTATGGTTGTGGTGGTGGTGGACAATATTTATAGAGACAAGGGGAGAAACTGTTTGATGAAATTAGAATTTTCAAATGTGATCCATTTTGAACGAGTTTGTGTACGCTGGTTTCAATGTGTTCGAATTGTTCCTCTATAATTTTATTAGATTACGTGCTGTAAAGAGGCTCTTAGAAATTTCTTCATTTTTCTTGGATTATGTGGGTACGTGTTACTGGGATAATTAATGCTTGTCGTTTTCAAATTGGATTCTTGTTTGAATGGTAATGTAGAAAATTTGTTATGTACTTGTGATGTAACGCGAGTAGCTCGACGAAGCATCTAGCTTGAATCCTTGATACGTTGTCAAAACAAATTGGGTTCATGTGTTCTTGCCCGTTTGGGGAAGAGACTAACATAGTTGTTTTAAATTCCTTTCAAATTAATATTATATAATTTTTTCAAATTTTTCAATTTAAAAGTCACTTTTTATATTTTTAAAATATCTATCCTACAAGATATATAAAAATAATTATTTTTTTAAGATTCATCTCTAAAATATTTTTATTTTTAACTTATGTTTTTGATTCGTTAAATTTAAGATAAACTTGTTTTTAGTTTCTCATATTTAAAATTATTATTTTTAGTCTTGTAATTTTTAAAAGTCTTGTATCAATTAGTTTCTTAGGTTACCAATAACATATCTGAAAGTAATTAATTAAAATAATTATATATCATATAGATATAATATTATTATTAGAAATATAGGTAGATAGGTTTAATGTAACAGTATTTAACAAATTTTTTAATAAAATTTGAGAATGATGACTAAAGTAAGATTTTTTGAAATATTAGATTAAAAAGATCAATTTTAAATTTGAGAGATTGAAAATAAATTTATCTTAAATTTGAAAGGTTAAAAATATATTTAAACTTTTATTTTTTTATTAAAAGATATTATTATTAATTTTTAAAAATTTAACTTTAAAATTTACTTTTAAGTCTAATAATATGTTGAAATAACCTGTGCTAAAATTGGACGTGTATGCCACATTAGTCAACGGGAATAGGATGGAAATATGCTAGATATAATGAGCTAGATCTTACTTGACCTGAGCCCCACCATATTTTTCTTTTTGGTATTAGAACTTCACCATATATATCTAACTTGACATGTTTATTTGTCATGGATATTTTTAAAGGTCTACAATTAAATATGTTTAAAAGTCTAATTTGTAATAATCTAGCACCAATATAGAAGTAAGAATATGCTAATTGATTTTGTAAAATTTGAATGTGACTTGTTTATGATATAAGAATATTTTTAAGATTTAATATGATATTGATAATATATTTTAATCATTTTCTTTTGTCTAATATAACTTATTTAAAATAAATATTGTAATGAGATCTTTATATACTACATAAATTTATTAATTTCTAAACAAACTTAATTATAAAATTTTATTTTTTATATAAGTTAAAATCTTTAATATTTATAAAGATAAACAACAAAAGTATAATTTTAACACTTTATAATAATTTTGATATAATAATAAATATTTGTTTATTTTATTTAAATAGGCTCATTTTGTAAATTTAATAGGCTTTTTAATGGCTTAAAGACGGATTTTTTAACCAAATAAATTTTATATTTTAACATGACGTATTTTCTATATATATATATATATATATATATATATGAGAATGATATATATAATGAATAAGTTGATGTATAATTTGATTTGTTTATAAGAATGATGTAGTCTGTTCAACTTTCGCCCCTAATTATGAAGGATGCACCAAATTATATCAATAGCATGAATAATTTGAAATGTTGATGAGGTTTTTAAATTTAAAAATAATTTCTTATCTCTCTTGCGGGGATTGATTTGATAATTTTTATACAAGAACAGTAAGAATTTTTAAATAATGCTGTAATTTTTTTATAATAATTATAAGATCCAATTTAAGTTCTTTAATATTACACCATTGGAAAGCGAAGACCCAGTAAAATTCTTAAATCCAATATGGCATGGGCCATAAAAGTAAAAGTTTCATGGATTTTAGTAAAGATGTTTTACACGCAACTAATAATTTCTGCTTTGTCACTCGTCAAAAAAAAAGAATCTACGTTGTGATTGCTTGGCTTTTCTTTTGGTCCGTGTTTCTGGACCGTGTCTATTGAATGATTAACGATGGTATCGATCGAGAGGAAAGACATTTTGTCAAAGAAAGAAAATTCCGATCTTAATTGATCTCAAATAATAATTATGCCTTAAATATATTTTTAGTCCTTTAAATTTAAGATAAATTTATTTTTAGTCTTTCAAATTTAAAATTATTATTTTTAGTCCTTGTAATTTTTAAAAGTCTTGTTTTAGTCCCTTAGATCACCAATAACATATTTGAAAATGACTAATTAAGATAATTATGCAATATCAACCGGATTTAATGTGATATTTTCATTAATAGGGATACCAATAGGTGGATTTTATACAATAATATTTGATAAATTTTTTAACAAAATTTGAATATAAGTAAAATAAGATTTTTTAAAATTATAGAAACTAAAAATAATAATTTTAAATTTGAGGGACCAAAAACAGAATTATCCTAAATTTGAGGGACTAAAAACATATTTAAGCCAATAATTATTATTAGAATAATTTTTTTTTTCATTTACTAGAATAAGATTTTCTTTTCATATATTGTTGGCGTTAAAGAAGTTCACACTTTTACATAGAAACATATGAGGTTAATTTTATTCTATGCATATTTAAATTTTATAAAAAATATTTTTATAATTATTCGTTAATTTAAATTAAAAAAATAAAATATTAAAAAGTTTTTAAATTCTTTAATTATTTATAAACTTGATCTATATATGAAGAAGTTTTAATTCAACGGTTGAATCATTAAAATTTGATATAAAACATGAGTTATTGAGTGAAGTAACTTACTCCACTCAAATTAACGTATGAAATGTTGTTATGAGTATTTGTTGATTTGAATTAACGAAACGAAGTATCAAATAATTTTTAAAATTTTTAAAAATTTATAGACTTGATTTATGTATTAAGAATTTTTAATATAACGATTGAATCATTGAAATTCAACATACATAATTAGTTATTGGGTAGAACAACTTAAGTAAAAGTTACTCTTGGAGTCATTTGATCCCCTCATACACACACACACATATATATATGTATGTATGTATGTATGTATGTTTGTATGCATGTAGAGAGAAAGAGAGAAAGAGGAGGGTTCAAATAACACTGGTATAACTTTTATCAACTATTACACCACTCAATAAATTTTCAAAAAAAAGTTTCTATTACCTATTGTAGATAGAATCAAGTCAAAACTAGCCAATTGGAAAAAGGTTATACTTTCATATATAGGTTGTTTGTTTCTTGTGAAGTCTATTCTTCAAAGCATGTTGATCCATAGGTTTCAATTTTATAAATGACCTCCCTCTTTACTTAAAATGCATGACAATTGGTTTAAAAATTTTGTTTGGATGGGCTCTACTTATTAGTAAAAACCTATTACTGATGGAGGCCCAAGGGCCAAAGGCCTAATTACTAGGGCTATGGTTCAAAGGCTAGAGCATGATTGGGCTAACTCCAAGGAAAAGCCCATAATTCTCTTTAGTTGGGTTGTGCTTTAAAGCCCATGTAGAATAGGGTGGGCCCCCTTGGGCTTGTATTTTTATTTGTGGGCTTTGTATTTTTGCCAAGTAGAATAGGTTGACTTCTAAGCCTTGTATTTCGGCCACTTAGTTAATAATTTCATATGAGTTTGCATTTAGTGTAATTTGAGGCACATTTAAGGTGGAATTAGAGTCATGTGACCGACCATGTGGATGGTGCACATGGTGTGACTCAAATTCACCTCAAATGTGAACCAAATCACATTAAGATGCAAACCTCACATGTGGCACATGGAGGTGCCGAGAATCTAGGAGTGGAAATTCAAATTTGAACTTTCAAATTTGAATTTAGGAACTAAGAGTTAAAATTAACCATACCATGGTTAATTTAAACACTCGACCAACCTAGCTTCCTTGGTACTCTTCCGTGGTCTATATATAGATTAGGGATTTGTATATTTCTCACTTTTGAGCATTATATGAGAGATTTATTTTGCATTTTCTCTCTAGCCAAAAGCCACCTTAAGTGAGGAGAAGCCCTTCTTCACCTAGAGATTTCCTCCTTGTAGCCTTGGAGTTCTATCTGAGGAGCTTAGGCAAATCTTTTTCAACACTTCTCTTTCTTTTCGTTGGATTCAAACCTTAAATTCTTCTCAAGGATTTAAGAAGGAGTGGCGTGTGGAAGTTCATGGAGTTTCTTCAATCCAAGACTCCATCAAGTGGTATCAGAACTCGGTTCCATCAAAAGATAAGTACATCAATTCCTTTCGGTAAATTTGTCTATTCCTTGATTATCTTGAGTTTTTGTTGACTGGATCTAGTTTTTTTATTCAAATTTTGATGGATCCACCATTCGCTTGCTTCAATGATTCATATATGTTCATCAATTTGCTTTTGCCTCATATTAATCATGCTTTGAAAAGTACTATAGGTTCTATACTTGTGCGTTTGCAATTTTTTTTAGTCTTGTTTGGTTTTAATTTCTCGACCATATGAAATGTATTTGAGTCTTTTAATTTTTGAATATACTCAAGTATTATCTAGAGTCATGTTTAGTCATTCATAAGGTGCTAGAAAATTTACTTCCAAATTTGAAATTCAAATCTGAAAAGTTCAATACAAGGCCATGCCACATTGTTTGTGTTAGTCCCTTAGCCTCAATTAACTTAAGAGGGGGGGTGAATTAAGTTTTCTAAATTTCCTCTTATATAAACTTTTCCAATTACTTTCTTATCAAATTTAATTCCTTAGATAAATTTATATATATAGAATGAATGATGATGCAAACTACACAATTACAATTAATAACAAGAAATTAAAAGTGTAGGGAAAGAAGAATTGCAAACTTGATTTTATACTGGTTCGGCCAATCCTGCCTACATCCAGTCCTCAAGTCTCCCACTTGAGATTTCCACTACTCTTGTAAACCTTACAAGAAAATGAATCCTCCAACACCTCGGAACTCCCTTTCCTTGTGTTGAG